AATGTAGCCCTGGCTGTCCTGGAATTCACTGTATAGACCAGGCTGGCCTCAAACTCAAGGGATCTGCCTGCCCTTGCCTTCCAAGTGCTGAAATTAAAGGCGTGCCCAACCATCCCTGGTGGGAAAGCTATAAAAGAGATTTAATTTTGTTCCTGGTTCTGGTCCAAAGCTGTGGGCCCATATCTAGTGATGGTTTCCCCATTGGGTATCTGAAGATACTTTTCTCTCTAGTAAAGTCCCCAGGTGGCACAGGGTGTCAGACGTCAACTGGCAGTGTCTGAGAGACCGTGTCACATTGCTGTGCAGAGATCATTCTCTAGATAGACCATTAATCCATTAGCTCATTGATTCTTTGGTCCATTGATGGCATGAGTGGACACTAATGAGTCTTAATCACCTTTGAAAGTTCCTACTTAGTCCCACCTCTTAGTAAACTCATAGTGAAGACTGTATTTCAACATGGGCCTCAGAGGAGATGAACTATATTGAACTCATGACACCAGATCTCCATTGTATTCCCAGGCATTTTGTAGTGTGGTGATCTCACGCAGGTCTCTAATATCCCACAGCGCCTTGACTCTTCACGGAGCACTGGTGGGTCTCCCCTGTTAGAGCAACACCAGATGCAGATCAATGACTCACGATCGCACATGCCAGAGACCTGCCAGCTCCCAAACCTCCACTGCCCGTCCTCTACCCATGCCTCCAACCACTACTTCAGGAAAATCATGAGTTGTCACAAGCGGCCCTGGATTCAAGTACCAGCCCCTCTGAGGACATAAAATATAACAAAATTCCCCACACTGTTTGGGCCCCCTTTGATTGTTCTCAGTTGCCAAGTGGGGTGATGGTTTGTGCTTTCCTTGGCTGTGTGGCTATTATTCTTATTTATTTACATGTCCAGATGTATCTGGGTGGATGTATACGTCATGTGTGTGTAGTACATAGAGGCCAGAAGACGGTGTCAGATCCTCCGTAGCTAGAGTTACAAGCGGTTGTGAGCTGCCCAGGGTGAGTGCTGGGAACCAAACCTGTCCTCTACAAAAGCAGCAAGTGCTCTTAACCTCTGAGTGGTCTCTCCAGTCTACCGTGGGACACTGAATTAGATCATTTAGAACTAGAGTTTTGAATACTTCTCAGTGCAATATAAAGGCATAAAGTAGAGGTTGTCGTTATTTCTACACTATCAAGTTTTTCCTCTCCTTTAGAAGACTTAGCCCTTCTGAGAGGCTGCCATATTGATTTCCTGTCACTGTGGTGAGAATTACTCTATTTAGTGGCTAACACAATGCTAAGGACTGAGGTTAGGGTTTATGGAGCATGGGAGGCCCCGAGCTCTGTCCTAAGACAGTAGACAGAAACCAAGACCAATTCTTTTACATTTGGGGGAGGGGGAGTCAGAAGTTCAAAATAGGTTTTTCAGGGCCAAGCCCAGTAGTACCACTGTCCTAGGGACACAGGAGAGAATCTCTCTCTCCCCTTCTCCAGCTTCCAGAAGTGGTCATCATCCCACAGAATCACAGGCCTCCCTGAGTCACCAAGGTGTGTCTCTCCAACCTCATCCTCAGGGAGTCCCTCCTGTACCTCTTCACCTTTGATCTTGCCTCCCTCCCATGATCACAGCTCTCTGCCCGATGACCTTCCACCTCAAGGTCTCTAACATAATTACATCTGCAAAGTCCCATTCACCTGGGACCAGTCGGTGGCTGAGCATCAGACTGGGTAATCTGGAGGACCCTCCAGCTTCTCACAGCATGCCTGGATCTGTTGGTGTGACTGTAATAGGATGAATGAGGCTGGGTAATCACTGAAGAAAATAAATCTATTCCTTACAGTCTGGAGGCTCAGAGGTAGAAGCTGAATCCAGTGAAGGTCCTCTCTTTGTTGTTGTTTGTTTTGTTTTCGGTTTCTCAAGATAAGGTCTCTCTATGCAGCCCTGGCTGTCCTCCAACTCACAGAGATCCTCCTGTCCCCACCCTGAGTGCTGAGATTAAAGGTGAACACCACCACCTCCCAGCTTGGTGAGGGTCTTCTCGTTATTCGGTCACACAGTGGACTGTATCTGCCACATGGCCAGAAAGTAGGAGAGAAAACCAACCCGTTCCTGAGACAACTGACCGAGCTTCGCGATAACTACATTACTCTGTGACCCAATCACCTTTTATTAGCTCCCAACACTTTTGCACTGGAGACCAACTTTCCAGTGTATGGACTGTGGGGAGACACACTGAGGCTCAGGCAACCTCCATGCCTCTTGATTTGGAGCCCACAGTCACGTGTGTGGAGAGGGAGAGAAGGGAAATGACCATTACAGAGATCATTCTGCTGCTGGCTCCGTATTCCCGTTTATCTGGGATAAGCTTATTCTCCTGCAAGGATAGCCAGGCTTGGAGGAGCCCAGGGCCTGCTCACATTACATAGGAACAAGGGACAGAGCAGGTTTGCCCCTGCAGTAGCACTGCAGACCACAGACTCTGGAGCACATGCTCCTTTGGACACCTGACGAGGTGTCTCTCTGATCATTTAAATTCGTTCCACCAGGTCTTGAGCAAGCACTGTGTGATAACTAACACTGTTTTCTGCCTTGCATGTAAATCAGTTCCCTAACTGTATGCAAATCACTGTTTTTTTAAGCTGTAGATTCTTCCTGTGTGAAATGAGGAGGAAGTCACAGAAAGGAAAAAAAAGAAAAGAAAAAAATGAAGGCCATGAGCAAGCATCTCAGTGGCAGGAAACCCAAACGGTCAGGAAAGGACTGACAGAATGCATCACCTCCTTAGTAACCAGGGAAATGCAAGCTGAGCTGTGGGAACAGCTTCCTAGCTCTAGCAGGGTTCAGCCTTTGGGATGATGGAAGCTCTCGACAACCTCGCCCCTTCCGCCCCTCCCACCTTTCGCCCCCTACCCCTCACCCCTCACCCCGGCTCAGGAACCCCTAGGAGATCCTCTCTCTCCACTCCTGACTCCCCTTCCCGGCTGGGGAACCCGAAGTGCTCCTTGCAGTTTGGAAGGAAATACCTGAGAGCTGCTAGCAAGTCCACACCTTTGAAACACACATAGGGAGCAGCTTAGGGAGCTAAGAGTCCTCAGTAGCCAGTCCAGCTTGTTCCCAAGGCAACAGTGAGAGCAAGACAGGCACCCTGTCTTCAACACAACTTTGCCTTCTCTTGTTTATCTATTTTCTTGTTTATTATTTTTTATAATTTTTTACAACTTTTTTATTATTGATTCTTTGTGAGTTTCACATCATGCTCCCCTGTCTCACCCATCTCCCCGTCTCCTCAGATCCACCCTTGGCTCTTGCCACCTTCCTCCCAAAATGAAGGACACACAAACAAAAAAACAAAACAAAGCAAAACAAAAACCAAAGCATAGAACACATCTCATCATGGATGCTGCAGTGTGTCACGGTGTGTCCCACAGTGTCCCTCTGTCCACACATCTTTACTTGTAAATGTTCCTTGCAATAAGTCATTGGTTTGGTTCCAAGTCTCTGGCTTCTGTGACACCATCAATATTGGCTCCTCACCAGGACTCCTCCTGGTTATCCTGCTGTTGCCCTGTGTCTTGGAGATCCTGCAGCTTTGGAACACTGGGAGTGGCCCTTTCTCTAATCCCAATCATTCACAGATGCTACTGAGTTTGGGATGGGCCATTTCTGAGCCCTGGATCTGGGCCTAGCTGGTAGCTGAGCTGCTCAGCCCACTGCCTGTCCCTTATCAGCACCACCAGGGAGAGCTCTCCAGTATAGCTCTGGCTAGGCTACCCAGTGCCGCCACTGGCAGGAAGCAGGGTCGGCTCTCCTGCTCTCACCTCCTTGGGGCTGCTCACCAACACCCACATCTTCAGAGCTAGCTCCACTGTGTTGCCCAGGTGAGGTTCAGGGACGGCTCTCCCAAGTGCTACAGCCAGAGAGCAGGCAGGATTAACTCTCCTTGTCTCATGGCCTGGAGGCCAGTTAACTACCAGAGGTGTCGAGGGGCACCCATGGGGATGGGAGAACATCACCCCTCACCCACGCCACCTCATGGCAGACCAGTGGCATGGAGCCAGCTCTCCTGTCCTCTCACCCTCAGGAAGGCCTCACCTGTGCCCCACCACCAAGTCAGCTCCACTGTGCTGTCCAGGCTAGGAGCAGGGCCAGTTCTTCCTGAGGACCAGGGCCCACTCTTCCTGAGGAGCAGGGCCAGCTCTTTTGTGCTCAAGACCACAATGGAGAAGAGGCAGGGTTAGCTCTCCCACACTCAAACCCTCAGGGCCAGATCACTCACACCCCCTCACCAGGACCAGCTCTACTGTGGCCAGGGCACAGTGCTCAGGGCCTGCTCTCCCAAATGCTGTAGCCACTGAGGGGAGAGGCCAGTTCTGCACAGCCCTGTACCTCCCTGGAGGTTACCCCTACCAGAGATGTCCCCATGTTCTCTAATGGTAATATAAACCAGAGACAGTAACACCAATCTCTGCTGCTGTGAAGTCATGGACCCAGACATGGCCTTCAGGGGCAGCTTGGGCTGGGACCTCACCATGGTCCCAGGTGGCGATGTTGGCCACTCACAACAGGCTCCTCCTCTCCACCCGAGTCTCCAGTTCCATCTCTCTCCACAGTGCTCAAAGTGCTCCACGTCTCTTTCTCTCCCCTGTGTCTACCACATGCTTGCACACTGTAGTGGCTCCTGCTGTCTGTGTGGCTGGCAGGCCCCTGAGTGATACCCCCTGTACTATAGCTGGTGGCAAGTGAGTCTCTACAGCTCACCTGTACCCCCCAGGAGGGCAGGTCTGTGGGTGGCATGGCGGTCTGCAGGTCTTTCTCTTCCTGAGCTACACTCTGTGGTCGTAGGTGGAGCCCACTTGTATTATGGGTCAGAGGGCAGGTCTGGGAGCATCTTTCCCAGCCCGTACCTCCTGGCATGGCTGAATCCAGGTCTCTGTCTTCCACCCGCCTCCCCACAAGGTGCTGCCTGGAGTTGATTTGATTTGATTTGATTGAATTGGTTTGATTTGAATGCATCCTAGGCATAAAACAGTTTTGGCTGCCAAACCAAGTATCAAGCTAGGATGAACAAAAGACTGTTATCTGCTCTGCCCCCGACTGACATAAGAGCAACACCACCAACAACCAGGTAAACACCTTTGCCCATTGCCAGGGAGGTGCTTCTTTATTTTTTATTTGCTTATAGTATTTATAGAGGCAAGATCCTTATCCAGATCACTTGCTAAATTCATTACATTGCTTGATGGAACCTGGTACAGGATATTTGTGGTGGTTTGAATATGCCTGGTCCAGGGAGTAGCATTAGGAGGTGTGGCCTTGTTGGAGGAAGTGTGTCATTGTAGGGGTGGGCTTTGAAACTCTCCTCCTATCTGCCTTACTCGTCCAGCTCCACATCTGCCTGGGTGCTGCCATATTTCTGCCTTGATAATGGACTGAGCCTCGGAACCTGTAAGCCAGTCCCAATTAAATGTTGTCCTTGTGAGAGTTGCCTTGGTCATGGTGTCTGTTCACAGCAGTAAAACCCTGACTAATACAGTATTGAACAAAGGAAATGGATAAAGGAACTGGAGAGATGCTCAGAGATGCTCAGACACTAAGTGAGAGAACCAGGGTAGTCTGAGCATCCGTACAGTGGCTAACCACCATCTGTAAATTAGTTCCGAAACATCCAATGTGCTCTTCTGGCCTACCTGGGCATGAGCACACATGTGATGCACAGACATCTATGCAGACAAGACATTCAGACACATGAAATAAAAATAAATAAATCTTGTTTTAATACCCACAATCTCTCTTGGAACCTCAGTCTTGTTATCTCTGGGACGACAGATTTAGACTAAAATGATCTGATTTTATAAGTGGTTAGATTCTGAACCTACTGTGTTCCTTTTTAATTTTCCCCGAATGCTCCCCTTCTGCAGGGTTGTACCCCCTGCAGTTTCTGTAAGATTGTATTCTAGAATCTCTCCTTCTGAGTGGAGCTTAAACATCCACATCTTTAAAGAATCCAAAGCAAGGCAGGGGGTGGTGGCACATGCTTTTAATCCCAGCACTTGGGAGGCAGAGGCAGGTGTATCTCTGAGTTCAAGGCCAGCCTGGTCTACAAAGAACAGCCAGGAATTTAAAAAAGAAAGGAAGGAAGGAAGGAAGGAAGGAAGGAAGGAAGGAAGGAAGGAAGGAAGGAAGGAAGGAAAGAAAAGAAAAAAGAAAGAAAAGAAAAAAAGAAAAAGAAAAAAAACCAAAGTAACTTATTCTCTGGGCTACGGGAATGTTCTGGGTCCTTTATGTATCCCTTCTCTCGCCCTTGAAGCTGTACACATTGTAGCATAGGGTTTGAACCTAGAATAGGCAATTGGGCAAATAAACAAACAAACAGACAGAATCCCAGTGTGGCCACTTTGTTGCTACCCCAGCTCAGCAAGCTGCCTTACTTCTTCCGCCTCTGTTTCCGTGGCTGAGAAAAGAAGATGTTAAAACTTCCTTCCCAGGCCGACCAAGACACACTGAACCCCAAAATGAAAGCATTTTATAGCATCTAGCAACAGGGTAAGCCCCTGGACATCCTGCTCTCTACCTTCTAAGCCTCTTCCCATTGGGCCCAGGATCTTTCTAGAAAATATGAAGAAAAAGGAAGTAAAAACTCAATAATTATCTGTTTCCTACATACCAGGCATGGCAAGCTCCATGTCCATTTCTTCAGTACCAAGCATGGCATCTTCACGCCCGTTCCTATATGCTGTGCATGTTGCCTTCATGCCATCTCCTGTATGCCAGGCATGGTGCCCCCAGGCACAGGTCCTTTCAGTCTCATAATTACAAAAATAAGTAATTCTTTGGCATCTAAGTTTGGAGCCATGATTGGGCTACAGACAGTAGTTTAACAGAACGAAGAGCTGAGCTGAGAAATGAGTCTCCAGGCCCAAACTGCTATGGCTAATTCAGCCGAAGTTTCTTAGCTTAGCTTAGTGGGTCTCTGAGAAATGGCCCCCAACATCTATAGAGTTATTAGTTCGCCGACATTTCCTGTGTACTCCCTGAGAACAGAGCCCATGCTTCTTCTTCTGTATTTCTTATAGGCCCAAGCACACATGTGTGTGCCTGGGGCATAGTCCTTTGTGGGCTGGCTGGCTGGCTAGCTAGGGAAATGGATTCACCAGCAGTGGGTGGATGAATGGATGTGTGGTTAGGTGAGTGGGTAGGGAAGTGGATGCACCAGAGGGTCAATGGATGGCTGCATGAGTGGTTGAGTGAATGGATGGACAGGTGGGCAGAAACACTAGTGGGTGGATGGATGAATGAATGGACTGATAGATGGATTCACTGGTGGATGGATGGATAGATAGATAGATAGATAGATAGATAGATGGAAGAATGGAGAGAAAGATGGCTAAAGGAATGGATGCATGTGTGTGAGAGGTGATTGTATATACAGGATAGATGAATAAATGATACAGATGGGTGGATGGATGGATAGATAGATATGATAGATATAGATGGATAATAGACAGATAGATGGGTGGATGGACAGATGGATGGATGGATAGATAGATATGATAGATAGATATAGATAGATAGATAATAAGATAGATGGGTGGATGGATAGATGGATGAACGGATAGATAGAGATGATAGATAGATATAGATAGATGACAGATAGACAGACAGATAGATGGGTAGATAGATAGATAGATAGAATGATGAATGTATGGAAGGACAGATAGACATGATATGATGGTCAGACACATAGAAGTATGGATGGACATGTGGATAGAAGGATGGATGGAAGGATGGATGGGTAGATGGATTCATTGAAAGAATACATAGAAGAATCCAAGTTAGGCTTCTGCATATCAAACTTTTGTCTCTAATAGTCTTGTTTCTTGACACTGGGATTAGAGATGGCTTGCAACTGAGGAAGAGAGAGAGAATACAGTCCTGTGACACCAGGCCTTGGGGATCATCACAAGTGAACAGGATGGCAGATCCTGGCAGCAACAGATGCCATGCCAATGAAACACACTTCTCAGCCCCCATGAAGCAGAGAGCAAAGCCCAACTTGCACTTAAGCCTTTCACGCCCTTTTCCAGTACCCACTGCCCCTCCCTGAGGCCGGCCTCCGACAAATTTTGCTCTCAAACTCTGACAAGAGGGCGAGGCCTTGAGGACAGATTTGGCCCAGGAAATGGGTCAAAGGCCACTGCTCCTTGTGAACATGCAGCAGAGGCCTGCCATACTTAACCACCAAGCAGGGCTGATACCATCTGGTCTCCAGGTAGACAACCCAGGAGAAAGGGTGGGGATCCAGGGAGGGAAGACAGCGGGAGTGGACCCCACCCATATATACCTTGATGGCACTTATAAGAGACCCAGCCTGTAGGAAGCACTCAGCAGGTGGGAGCTGAGATTATCAGAGTTATCAACCATCATTAAGGCAATTAGCAGCTGAATTCGAATCCCAGTGGCTTTGGCAAGCCCTCTGGCAGGCTCAAAAACATAGAACGCAGCATTGCTTTGGGGAAGTGGGGACTTGCAAATGAGCTTTGGTCAGCACTGAGTGTTACTAGGAGGTCAGAAGATAGTGACCTTCGATTTTGACTTACTTATCTAGTGTGTGTGTGTGTATGTATTATGTATATGTACATTTGTGTATATATGTGTGTACATATGTGGTATGTGTATGTATGTATGTATATGTGTACATGTATATACGTGTGTATGTATTGTGTATATAGGTGTGTATCCGTGTGCATATGAGTATGTATATATGTGTGCATTTGTGTGTATGTGTGTATGTATGTGCATACACATATACATGTGTATGTATTATGTATTTGTGTGTATGTATTGTGTATATGTGTGTGTATGTGTGTGCATATGAGTATGTATGTATGTGTATGCATTGTGTATATGCATGTGTATGCATATGAGCATGTATGTGTGTGTATGTATGTGTATATATGTGTGTGCACATGTGAACTGTGAACACATACATACCACATAGCACAGATGTGGAAGTCACAGGACAACTTATGGAAGTCAGTCATCTTGCAGCCAGATGTCAGCTTTAGGGGCAATGACTTTACTTACAGCTGAGCCGCTGGGATGGCTCCTGACTGTGGATTTTATGAAAAGCTCAGAGCTGTCTGTGACTCCTGCCTTTTCCTCCTCAGTGCATCTGGTTGTGTTTGTCCTTCATTGTACTGAAGGTCAAACCTCACGCAGCCAAGCAATCAGCTTTACCGATTGATTCCTATATCCAGCCCTTCTCATAGTTTGAGAAACGGTTGCTCTGACCAGCCTTGAAGTTCTTCTGTAACTCAGGCAGACGCTGAACTTGTACTCCTACCTCCGCCTCCTAAGTGTCTGGAATGTCAGGCCAGCACCTCTGTTCCGGCACATCTCACTTCAAAACCACCGTCTGAATCCATGCAGGTCTAAGACAGCCCTCCTGCTGGCCACCCAGGGTCTTGATGCTGTCCCTTTCTTTTGTTCCTTCTCTCATCCACTTCCTTTCCACTCAGCTGTCACAGGGACTTTTCCTAAAGGGAGAGTCAGAGCTTGACACTTGAAACAAAACCCAACCTCCTCTAACAGCTGCAGAGTCTGACCCCTGGCCAGGCTCCGGCAGCATTACCCTGTTCGATGTCAATACAATGCAACAGACAGTAGCTGACGCTGTGTGGTATTGGTTCACCTTGTCACTCTTTGTTGGACCTTGCTGGGCTTTGTTGACGCTGGTCTTTGCTGATGACGCTGTGTCGTATTGGTTTGCCTTGCCTTCTTTGCTGATCATTGTTTGTCCTGACTTTGTAGAGAGAAATGCACCAAAAAACTTCTGGTGGTATTCCAGCAGATTCTTGCTGCTCTTGCAGATGTGGGCTGATTGGCAGAGCCTCAAGGTTTCTTTTGGATCAAACTGTTTCTTTTGGATTGCTGACTCATAAATGGTGTTTGCAAATGGATGGAATTACCGATGCTGGTTCCTGTGAACTGAACTGCTGATATCCTGACAACACAGATTGGAATCTCCCCCAGAGAATTATTTCTAAACGGGTCCACAACTTCCTTTGTTCTATTAACCTTTCTTTTCACCACCTCTGGTGCGTGGTGGGCTAGAAGGGAGGTTAAACCATTTAAGTACACTCATTAAAGTAGAT